GTGCATTTGGAATGTGGCTCCTGTCCTGCCTCCTGCCCAGAGGCAGAGACCTGGACCTCTGTGGCACCAGGAGTTCTGGCCATGGCCTAGCCCTGCGACCCTGGGTGTTGGACCATTGCTATTTCTTTTACCTAGGGCAAAAAAGGATGGGAAAACTAGTGGAAAGAGACCGAAATGAAAGAGAGACATTCCTACAAGCATACCCTCCTGGAGGGTCGCCCTGTGCCCTGGGCCCACAGGATTGGAACTTGAGCTTCATACACTGATTCCAGGGCATTAATTTCAGATGTATGCACCCACCCGCAGGGACCCCCATTGACCAGTGAGCCGCCCTCTGGAGAAAGCTGTGACCCCAAGGTAGATCCCTTTCCACAGGGAAACAGGGTGTGTGGGGGCGGGGGTGCTCCTTTTTTCTTTTAAAGATTTATTTATTCATGCATACAGAATTGGGGTACAGGACAGAGGTGGGGAGCAGAACAGGCAGATTGACTGAAATACACTGCTGAGGGGAACAGCAGGCAGGACAGGAGAGGCCTGCTGCGCCATGCGAGTCACCTCCCTGGGCGAACTCACACTGCAGTGGCTGCAATAGCTTCATAGTGCTGAGTTTTAACCCGTTGTTCCAGCAGGGAGGGTCCAACTGGGTTTTTCTTAAAGGGAATGAGAAAGGTAGGTTATTGTCCTTCAACAGTGTTGACAACATGGTAAAAATAAGGTGGTATCCTATATACTAGTGGGCCATTTCCAGAACACACATGGGTAACAGAAATAAGAAAGAAAAGCAAAGGGAAAGAAATCATCCACTGGAGGTCATTGTTAGAATAGGTGACTGTGAAATATGATAGTCAATGAAATAAGCCTAGTTTAGGAAATGTTGAAACATCCATGGTATCCCAGTGTTTTAAAACCAGACTAATAGTCACAACAACATGAAAAACAGGAGCGCTGTGCCTGCGCCCTCATGTCCAAGTGTCTCCCCAAAGATAAAAACCAGAGAAGAGGCACATTCTTAGAATTTAAAGAATGAGGTGGGGCTAGGGTTGCTAGATAAAAAACAAGGTGGTCTGTTAAATTTCAGATAAAACAACGAATACTTTGTTAGAATTCGTATTTGCAAATATCCGCAGAATACTAAAAAAGTACTTGTTTGTCTGCCATTCAAATGTAGCCGGCCATTGTATTTTTTTTTTTTTTTTTTGAAATTAATTCGAAATAGCCTGTGGGTATGATGCAGGCCATTTTTGTTTTTTTTTACTTTTTTTTTTTTATTAAAAAGTTTATTTTTACATCATTTTTCACATTTTTTTTTTCATCTCAATTGTAATCCCCATGGGTTTCCCATCACCAAATCACCCCTGTGCCACCACCATAGTCCCGTGCATTTCCCTCCCTTCCCCCCCCCCATTTTTGATCCCATTAAAAATATGGAACGCTTCACGAATTTGCGTGTCATCCTTGCGCAGGGGCCATGCTAATCTTCTCTGTATCGTTCCAATTTTAGTATATGTGCTGCCGAAGCGAGCACCCATTGTATTTTTATTTGCTCAATTTGGCAGCGTGGAGAGGCCTCACATCCATCCCAGGAAGGGAAGGCAGAAGAGTAAATTCTGGAAAAGAGGCTGGCTGACACAGTGGGGCCCTGGGAACCCGCCCTGCTTCCTCCTGGGGCTCCGGCTCCCTGGGGAGAACAGGCAGTGCTGAGAGCACCAGAAGGAGCCTGGAAAGAAGTCAGGCTTCTGGGGCAATTGCCAAGACAGAGGAAGCCAGGCTCGTGGTGGCAGCTTTAGAGTGTTCCAGTCCCCAGGACCATGCGCAGGCCTGCTTCCCTGACCCCCGGAGGATAGTGACCATGGCTCAACTGCCCCTGTAAGCCCCAGCTGTGCTGACATCCCCTCCAGGCCTAGCTGTGTCAGCCCTGCCTCACACTGAATTTCCCCACATTCTCTGGGGCTGAGGTCACTGAGTCTCCCCAGGCCCTTCCCGCAAGACTGAAACCCAAGCTGGAGGCATGTGGGGGGTGACTAAAGCACTGCCCAAAGGTACCCCAAGAAAGGGAAGTAGGGGCACCTGCTCCCCAGGAATGCTGGGGTGGCCACTGGGTAGGGGCCCAGCAGTCTATCCCCAGAAGGCAAGTGGCGCCTGCCTGCCTGCCAGAGAGCCCCAGGCCAGCGGCTGCACACGCACCCCCTCTCGGAGCTGCTGTGCAAGTTCTGCTGAGGGGCCTTCCCTCCAGTGCAGCGTGGGAGCTGCTCTTGTGTCCTTTCCCAGCCAACAGGGAGGGGAGGTAGAGGGAGAAAAGGGTAGGCCTGCCGTGGGAGCTTTCACCTCAGACGTTGGACCAAATCACTCACTGGTGTGCTGAGAAAGGAAGATGGGGCCGTCTCTGAGCAGAGCATCCCCTGAATGATCTTGTGAGATGCTCTTACTCTCATTTTTGCAGAAGACAAAGCTGAGCCTCAGAGAGGTTATAGAACTTTCCTCAGGCCACACGACTGGTAGCGTGAGAAATCCCCACCCGACTTCTCTGTCTCAGTAACCTTTCCCCATTCCGTTACTCTCTGCTGCCCAGCAAAATTCTCGTCCAGCATAGGAGGAAATATCTGCTGTCGATTCTATAATTCTGTTATTGTCAGGTTCCTGCCTCCCCCATTGTCTCTAAGACTTGGCTTATGATTGTGCAATTTCCACTAGAAAATAACGCTGCAAGGAAACAGCTGCACTTGTCTGTGTCCACACCAGGAACTCCAGCTCCTGGGCGTTCAGTCCTCCTCCACAAGCGAGCGCCATGGTGGTCTCAGCTCATTTGGTAATTCTCAACAGACTGAAAAAAAAAACGCTCCCTGCTGATAAACCTCATCCATCTGATTGTGTGATGGTTCGAGTTTGGTAAAATTATGGGCTGTAGGCCCATGTCCCCCTAGTCTGATCCCCCAAGAGATACTGGCCCTGCCCCTTAACACTCCCGGATCTTACCACATAGACAGGGTCAAGACTTCCTTACCTGTTGACCTTGGGTATTTCTCTTGCTGGTCACTGTTCTTCCCCCTCAGTATCTCACAGCAGTAAGGTGACAAGAAACCTTCATTTCTGGGTGTGTTGCAGAGAGAGTGGGGCTTGTGGTTGGGGAGGAAGTAGAGCTGGGAGGAAAGAGAGACAAATCTGTTTCTTCTAATCATAGGCTTCACTCATGTGTTCATTCATTTGCTCATGTTGATATGTTGGCTAGATGGTGAAATGCAGGGAGAGATGGAGCCTGGAACTGATCATACCAGCCGGAGTCCCACATGGCCCAGTTCTCAAAGCCTATTCAAAGGGTCACAATCTGTTAACCAGAAGTCACTAAGAGGGACCTCTAAGCCCCACTTGCACCTGCTCTCTGAGGACTGACTCAGTGATTTTTCTCAGAAACACCTTTCAGATCTTGCAGCTACTCCAAGTCTCTGGAAACACTCAACCTACTCAAAGTTTTCTCTTGGTTGGCATTTGGCGTTTGGGAGCCAGATTGCCTGGGTTAAGATCCTGATTCTAAAATCTGTCTGACTTGACATCACCCTTAACCCCTCTGCCTAACCCCTTCTCGTCTGATGTGGGGATAAGAGGATCTCCAGCCTTGGGTTGTTGTGAGGTTTATATGTTAACAGTCATAAAAGAGTTAAAATGGCAGGGCCCTCCCTGGTGGCACAGCCGGCTAAAGCACAACACTACAAAGCTAAAGCCACTTCAGCACCCGGCCTGGGAGGTGGCACACATGGTGCAGCAGACCTCTCCTGACCTGCCCTCTGCTCCCCTCAGCAATTTACTTTGTTGATCTGCCTGTTCTGCTCCCCACTCTGTCTCTAGTGAAGCCTCCCTGCATCTCTGGCCTGTACCCCAGTTCTGTATGCATAAATAAATAAATCTTTTGAAAAAATTTTACTTAGAAAAAGTAAACACTCTCTTAATTGCTTGGGGGACCAGTGTGCTTGGGGGTGCTCTTTGCATGGGTCTACTTTCTTTTCTCCATCCCAGGCTTCTGGCGCCTAGGGCAGTGCTGATTGTGAAGATCGGGACATTGCACAGGTGGTGGGTGTACTTGTGCCAGAGGCTGCTGAGAGTGGCTGTGCACTTGTTGACAGTGGTCCACATTTGCAGGTGGCTGGCTTTGCTGACCAGATCTGTTTTCACGACTACCAGCACACCTTTGCCATCACTGCCAGCACCACATCCACAGGCTTACTGTGAATTGCCTATTGTCGTAGAAGGGGTTATGGGCCTTCAGAGTACCGGGCTGGGTTGCTGTATGTCTGCTGGTTCCTTTTGATCCAGAAGCTGGCCACCAACATGGTGGCCCCTTCTACAGTGGATATCCATTAATATAATGAGTGTAAAATTAAACAGCGCCAGTGACTGGAGCTACCATATTGGACACACAGCTTTAGGGCAAGAAAATGGAAGCTCAGGACTGCTTGATGTGGAATTTAGTCATACAAAACACGGCCATTATTCATATAATGTTCAGAGAATCCTTGCAAGCATGCTCCTTGCTAAGTGGGGATTGCTGGGGTGTCATCACTAAGCTTACAATAAGTCCCCATTCCTTGCCCAGTAGGCAGGTTTGGGAGGCTTGAATAAAGAGAATCAATAAGGTTGCTATGGGAACCGGGCATAAGATAGCTCACCTTGACCATGAATGTGCAAGCTGGGCCAGGGTGTACTCTGTGTCAAAGGTCAATGCCCAAGACCAGCCATCCCAGCAGACAACAGGTCATAAAAGAAAGCCTTAAGCCCTCTTGGCAAGCAGACCTCTCGCATCTCTCCCCCTCAATAAATCCACCTTTACTGTTTTCCACTGCCTGGGTGAATTCCTTCACCCCAGCGCTTCCAACCAAACTCCGATATTTCTTCCCACTATAGGGATAAAGGGACCCAACAGCGATGAAGGTGGTGGTGAAGGTGGCCACATGGGGGAAGAGAATGCTGGAGACACTGAGAAACCTCCAGGGATGGAGCCGAAGTGCAGCCAGACGATGAAGAGAGAGGGCTTGTCGGGGCAGGTAAGGGACGCAGCTACAAATTGCTGGATTTCTTTTGAATCCATTATGATTCTGTCAGTCATGGAGTTAGTCAAATTTTTCTGGACCTATTTGTGTTTTCCTCTCTCAATTCAAACTAACGAGTTTTTATATGGAGATAATCGTGGATATGGGCAGGAGGCACTGGGGCTTCCTGGCGGGGATCATTTGCCCCTCGAAAGCCATGTCTTTGGGAGTAGTTCTGATTAAGCCCCAGTCAAGCCTGCAATGGGCGGGGGGGGAGGGGGACGCCCTTTGCACCCCCTGCCCCTGAGTGTAGCTACATGGGAACAGTGGATGGTGCCAGAAGTCACTTGAAAGCAGGGTGTTTCCCTGGTGTGGCCTTGTCCTGAGTGGACACAGAGGTCAGGTCTAACATTTGGTGATCACCTCACTCTCCCCTCGTGTTGGCTGGATTTCTTAGGGACTTTGAGGGCTGGCAGGTCCTGGCCGGGGACTCCAGCAGCACCGGCATCGCCCGAGGGCTTGTTCAGAGGCCGACTCAGGTCTGCTCCATGTGCACACGCTGGATGCCCGGGCAAATGCCAGGCAAAGGGCACCCAGCAGCGTTTGAGAAGCACTGAGCTAGAGCCCCACCCCCTGGGCTTGATTTAATACTTGTCCTGAATTGGTGACCAAAGCTGAGTTGAACTTGCTGTTTCAGAATTTTATTGGCTTCACTTCCCCACACCCCGAGACATAAATCTGCCAAAATGGTTTCCAAGTTCCATTATCCCTGGTGGATGCCTCCAAGGCTGTGGATGTTCTGAAAGCTGAGGTCACATATGTCCAATCCCCAGGCTTTGGGCAGGTGACACTTTGAGAGTGGGGTGGGAGGCGAGATTCTCTTTTCAGGGTGGCTCCATCGGTGGCCACTTCTCTATGGCCGAGGGCACCTGAGTCAGCCCCACGCTGCTGGTCTCCACCCCAACCATGGCTTTCCCGCACCAAAACCCATCGAAGAGTCATCTCAGGATTTTCTGAACAGAGCCAGCAGCCCAGGGCTGATATCGGACAAGTATATGCACCTGTTCTCAGGGGGCTTCGCGCCATAGCACCCCCCTTACCAAGTGAAATGGATGGGCCAAGCGTAGGACGGCCAGACAGCAAGAAATGCAGCTGTTTAAAACGAGAATTTCCTTAAGAGGTTGGACTGCAAAATTGAATTATCTATCTTCTTTTTAAAAAATGAAAACATCTAGGCCCACCCTGATGGCGCAGCAGGTTAAAGCACAGCACTGAGAAGCTAAAGCCACTTCCGCATGAGTTCGATTCCCGCCTGCCCCAGAGGTGACCACATGGCGTGGCAGACCTCTCCTGACCCGCCCGCTGCTCCCCTCAGCAGCGTACTTCATCAGCAGCCTGTTCTGCTCCCCACTCTGTCTCTGGTGAAGCCTCTTGCCACCTCTGAGCCTCTGGCCTGTACCCCAGTTCTGCATGCACAAATAAATAAATCTTTAAAAAAAAATAAGCAAACATCTATATGTACATTGAAAACACAGTGTCTGGATGAATAGATTCCCAAATCTGCTGTGTTGTTGCTCTTCAGACAGCGGCCACCAGGTGTACACAGGCTTATGGGCTGTTTGGAGCGAGAACACGTAAGCACGCGCACACCGCGGCTCTGGTGTCCCGGTGAGAGCACCCTGCATGTGCACTAGGCCAGTGGGTTGGAGGATGGCCCAGGCACCCAGGGCTGTGCTCCGGGTGGGGCTGCCAGGAAGCAGGGGCACATTTGTGACTGGATCTCATTAATAATTCTTACCCAGAGCAATGGAGTGAAGCTGTGGTTGGCGAAAAGCAGAAACAACAGTCATCCACTAGCCAGGGTACGGGGGTGCTCGGGTGCTTCTGTGGTTTGGACAGCATTCTTGTTTTTTGTCTCGTTCAGACGTGATCACGGAATGGTCTTGTTTTTTGTCTTTTTCTTCGCAGTCACGCTGGCCTGGGCCCATGTTGTGTAGAGCTGGTTATACTCAGCAGGGGAAGGCCCAGGCCAGCTGCAGGCTCCAGGGGCAGCTTCGCACTTCCTCAGTGGTGACAGCTGCAGCGAGGGGGGATCCCGGGGGTGCCTCTGGGTGCCGGCATTAAGGAGGGTTTTCACTTCCTACTTTATATTCCGAAAGAAAAATGTTTTCCCAGCAAGCATGTACTCCAGTTGTCTTTGGAAAAATAGCGATTTTCTTTTTAGAATAAAAAAACAAACAAAAACAAAAAACAAGGACCTAAACAAATCACCCATATGAGAAAACCCTAAGCCAGGTAAAGCATATCCCAGGGCATTTGGTAACCTTCTGGCATACCCAGCCTTGCGCAAAGACCTGTTTGCTCCAACAGCCCCCTACAGAAGCATGGGCCCCCTGGACACTAAATTCCCCCCCAAACCCCCCGGAATGACTCTCAGGCAGCTGTCCCCGAGAGCAGCAACATGTGAGCTTTCTGCCGCCAGGTAGGCTGGCATGCCACACTGGCGTTTACATTGGATGGAAACTGGTGTTGCTCAAGCCTTCACTCCAGGGTCCAGGTGGTGAGCAACATGTTGTCTTGCCGACACTGGGCAGAGGCCACCTGGACACCTGCTTGGTGGGGCTCCCAGACAAGACGCTGTGGCCTGGCCTTGAACTCTGGCTCCCAGCTTGGCTGCCCTGGAGAATCATGGTAGCTGACAGCCAGCCAGCACCCTAGGGATTCAGCCACCTGGGCAGTTCACTCAGGATCCTTGGGGGCCAGGCCCAGCTCTGCCAGCATATCTTTTGACCTCCAGGTGACTCCTCCAACTTCGCCCTCCTTTACCTTCACCTTGCCTGCACCCTCGCTCATTCTACCTCTGCAGTGTCTATCCTCATCTTTCCTGCTCCTGTCATTTCTAGTCCAGTCCGGCCATCAACTGCTCTCCCCTGAATTCCTGTCCTCCACACTCTCCAACTGATCTTTGTAGATAAAAGTCCAGGCCACTGGTTCTCAGCCCTGGCAGTGCGTCGCAGTCTCCAGGGGAGGCCGAAAAAGCACTCCCATGCCGGGGCCCCACCCTCCGCGTTTCTGATTCCATTGGCCTGAGGTGGTGGGAGCTCAGACACTGATTTATTTTTTAAAGTTTCTCAAGGGATTGTACCAGGCAGCCAGGCTTGAGAAACACAGCTTGAGGTGCTAGCCCAGAACAGGCCAAGTCCACAAGGGAACTCTGTAAACAGAGGCACAGGAGTTTGTTAGGGGTCCTTTAGGAGGGGACCTTCTTCCCCATGGTGCCAGAGAAAGCCAGTGAGTGTTTGTTCAGATATGGGCACCCAGGGGCGTAGTTCAGCAGCTATGGTGGTAGTACCTGGTGGTGAGGTGGTCCTGGCAGAGGAGCCTAGAGCAGGACAGGTGGGGAAAGATGGGAATTAAGTCCCAGCTGAAGTCCTAAAACACTTGTGAGAAACTGCAGAGGGCTGGTCCCTCCAGGAGTGGTTGGGGCTGTAAGCCAGGAAACGCGTGCACTCTGTCAGCACCTGATGGAAAAGACTTCTGAGCCCAGGAGGCCAGTGGAGGAAGCTGTGGAGCCCCTGGCCAGATCCCCTCAGGACCCAGGCTCTTGATCCCCAGCTGCATGGAGTATTGCCTGTGAACTGTCCTCAGCTGAAAGGGAGCTGCAACAGGCCCAGGCTGTGCCCCACCCTGAGGGCAGCCTGTATACAATGCCTAGTCAGTGAACCCTAACGGCCTTGTTTTAGGGCACCTCAGCTGCAGAGCTCCCTGGGCGATCCGCTGAGGTTTCTGTGGCAAATGCATCCCAGTTCAGCCCCTGTCTCCCCCCATCCCGCTTCCTCCACTCCCATAAGGGGTTGCTTCAGTGTTCTTCCCAGTGAGTCACCCTATATTGCAAATCTCCAACTCAGAATCTGTGTCTAGGGTACCTGAACCACGAGAAAGGCCCTTATACATGAGTGGGTGAAGAAGGAACAAGGCCAGAAGGGTTTGTGCTTTGGGGATTTCATGGAAAATTTGTGGGCGCAAAGGATATGAAAACTGCCAATCTGAGCATATAAATCCCCTCCTTAAAATTCTCCAGTGACTATAGCCTATGGGATAACTTCTGAGCTCCTCTACGCAGCGTGTCAGCTCTTTCATAATCTGGCCTGGTCACCACTGTCGGTCCCTCTTCCTCTTCCTCATTCTCCAGGCAATCTAAGCTATCTGCAGTTCCGCAAACCACCGAGCTGTCTCCCACCACTGCCTCCACACTCACACTCTCCCCGGAAAGCCCTCTTCTCATCTGGAGCACTTGCGTTGCCTCTGCATTGATATCACCAGTCTGCTTGCTACCCTTCTGGCTGATTATTCTGGCATGGCCAGATTTTATTTGTCTGCCTTTCCAAGGCCCAGCGCAATGATTAGCTCTTGATAAATCATGTTGAATGAATGACTACATGACTCGAAAGGGGCCAGGCTCCTGAGCCAAACAGTCTGGTTCTAGTCCTGCTTTCACTTTCTCGATGTGATAATGTCCAAGTTGTTTAGTCTTTCAACCTTACTTATAAAGAGAGGAGAATAGAGGATCTTATATATCCCCTGGGGAGACTGACCTTCAAGAGATATCCTGAAGAAAGTACCCAGCACAGAGCTTGATAAGGAGACACTCAAGTGGAGGAATATTAGAATATATTTGGTTTCTATCCATCAAGACCAAGACTGCCTTAGGTGTTCCAAGTGTGGATTTTGACAAGTAGTCATCTCCGAGACCGAACGGTAGATACTCAATATGCTGTGTGGTCGTCATGGACATTTGGCAGCTGGTCATGGGAAAATGAAGGAGACAGGACTGTATGATATTAGCATTTGAAGTACATTAGATCTGACGGAGAGGGGCAAATCCTCACAAAAGTCTAGAAGAATCAAGGTGCAAGGCCTCTCCCTTAACCTTAGAGCCAAGACTCTAGGCTTTACATTCTACTGCATGGTGGGGGGGGATCCCAGCCGCTCCACTGCTCCGGTGAACCCCACAG